TTCCCCCCCTTCCCCTGTCTTTTCCATTTCAAATCATCACATGGCCCCACCCTACCCCCTCTCTTTTCGAGCCCCGCGCCGTCCTGGTCGGCAAGCCCCACCCACTCGGTCGACCCCCTCTCACTCGGCCACCCTCGCGGTCGGCACGCCTCTCGGCCGACGCCTCCCGCTCGGCCACCCTCACGGTCAGTTTCTCCCGATTCAATTCCCTGGCGATCGGCACGGCTTCCCGTAGACCTCTCCACTTGATTCGATTTTCTCTTCCTTACTACTATTCCCTTCGTTGGACTAAAGCTGCACTCGGAAATGGGGGACTACTGACATGGACAGGCCCACGAGGCATACAGCCCACGGGAAACTGCCCCGAACCCATCGCCTTGGACCCATAGCATAACTTGATTGGCAAAGCCCAGGACAGCTGGAGTCCACCTGGACGTGGAGGGCCAAGGGCATTCGGACACATGACAGATGAGACACAGGCCACATCAGCAGACAAAGATCTACAGAGTTATTGCCACAACACATCACCATTAATGCAGCCCATCACAACATTTATTACGACAACACCTCCCCGTCGGAACAGAGCCCCCTCACCCTGAATAAGGCAAACTACGGCACAGGCTTTCGGCGGAAAGGGGGCACGTCACAAAGGACAGTGAAATGATTACCAAAGGATATAAGCAACAAGAGAAGCACAAGAATAAGGTTAAGCTTTCTATCTCGCCATCTTCTCCCCTACATTTTCCTGTTTTTCCCTCGACTAATTCTCTCGCCGAAGGGTTCACTGGGGGACTGCCCCGTTCCCCTTTGGACTTGCTTGCAGGTCATTTGACGGAATCATCACCCCGAACCGGAGCCTGAAGAACCTGGACCAGTCCGACCCATTCACCCGGGAAGAAGAACGTTATCAATATGTATATAATGTATGAGTTTTGATAATTAAATTAGATAGGTTGCAAAATAGATATGGGTGTTGGGTCACAACCCGATCCAAGCCTAATATTAAATACATGCACAAACTAAGCCCAACATAGCTCAACCCAAAGCTCAAGACTATGTCCAAGTTCAAGTCTAAGACCAAACCCAACACATGCACAAGTATATGTTTAGGCCCAGTCCAAATTAAGATTAAGCCCAAATCTAAATCCAATTTTATTGATGCCCACTTTATGAGACAATTCTCATTCACAACTCAATTTATGAGACAATTCTCATTCGCAACTCAATGGTTTCGGTTCATTATTTTTGTATTACAATTTTCTTACTTAAGAGAATACAAAACCATTCAAACCCGTCTCAACTAGCGGTTGAGTTCTACTTTAAGGCCCCGTTTGGGGACTTACCTTTTTGGCCAAAAAGCCAAAAAGTTATCTTTTTAGCCAAAAAGTCAACAACTCATACCAAAAAGTCAAAGATTCTCTTTTCTCTCTACTTTTTGCACATCTTTTCGTAATTAGCCAAAAAGTCATCCAAAACATATAAATTTTTTTTACCTACTTTTTTAGCCAAATAGCAAAAAAGTTACTAAATTAGCCTGTTTCCAAACGAGACCTAATTTCTAATTAAAGTTACTGAAAACTCATTATTTGTTAATAGGTTTAACCCCTGCTACACCATTATCATCACTCCCAATCCCTCATTCATTATTCCTATTACTGTTCCTAACCTTCTTGGATATTCTGTTGAAAACTTTGAATCATGCTTATAGTCAATTTTGATTTCGTTAGCGTTTCAACTCCTAGATCTACCAGAAGTTTTTTTCTTTTTTATTTATTTATTATTATTTATTTCTCTATGTTTTGTGGTAATTACTGTATTGTGATTGTATATAAAATGACTAGAGGTACATGTTGGTTTAGGATGCGCGGTGGTAATGAAGGAGACTGGTATAGTGTTCTAAAACTTTTCAAAGTATAACTTTTGCTACCTAACCTTTTGTGAGTTTGAAAAGTTGAAAGACATTTTATAATTTGATATATTAAACGAATGTTTAATGCTTAACCACCCAGATAACCCTAATGTATGTATATATGATATGTGGGTAAGTGACCCACGTTGCAGGTGCCTAAGGGGTGTGATTTCAAATTTCAATATAATAAATAAAGAGAAAAGTTAGGGATCATAAAAAAATTTTCATGAAAATGATCGTGAAAGATTTATGATCTTTAAATTATTTTGATTAGTGTGTGATATTTTATTTTAAATGTAATTCAAAGGTCATAAATCTCTCATGATCATTTTCATGAAAGTTTTTTTATGATACCTAATATTACTAATAAATAAATAGATGCTATCATAACACACATTAGTCATCTTAGCAAATATTTAATTCACTCATTAAGCATACCTATTTGGATCTGGCCTGCCAAATGAAAGACAATAATGAGTACTTTACGCTCTTCAATTATTTATTCAAAACCTGTTTCTATATATTTTATTCCTGATTTTTTTTTTTTTTTGGGGTGTTAAGTTATCTTGAATCATTTGGTGCATTATTTCAAAGAATCTGATAGAGATTTTTTTTTTAAAGTTTTTTTATTGAAATTGGATAGTAATGTGTGTTTGGCTGAGGAATTTGAAGAGGAATTTGAAAAGAGAAATTGAAAAGGTAGGTGAAATGTGAAAAAAATATGCCTACATTTCATATAGTTTCACACACCTTTTCTCTTTTTTTTTTTTAAATCCCTCTCCAAATCCTCTAACCAAACACACTAAGCATATCACATGCACAACAATCCAAAGCAGTCTCTCGCGCATGGATGCTACAGTGCACCTTATTGTGTTTGGTTTAATTGAACGAGCCTTTGGTTATGAGAATGACCCATATGATTTTTTGACGTATACATTTCATTTTTTAAGTTATTGGACTAATTTTAACCATATAATAAAATTTAGGGTAAATTATATTGACACCTCACGAGATTTATGTTTATTATAATTTCCTCCCTCACCTTTTAGAAATTATATCATTCTCCCTGAACTTTAAAGTTTCATTACAAATTGCTCATTGAGGTTTAAAGTTTCATAACAGTTCTCTTGCTCACTGTAATGATCATCATATATAAAATTAAATTAACAAAGAGAGTCAATATAATTTTTCAAATATGAAGAAAAAATTATGATAAATATAAATCTCATGAATTGTTAACAAACAACTCATTTTGATGGTCTAATTAGACTAGAAAGCAACAATTGTTGTGCAATCCCTTTTAGGTGACCTACATCATATTGCGTGCTATGCGTCATTGACAAAAATTCTCTCGTCTCTAAAATTATTTCATAATGATATAATTTGAATTAAAAAGTGTGACTTGTGAAATTGCTAAGGCCAAGTTTGGTGACTTTTATTTTTTGTTAAAATAGTTAATAAAGACAAAAAAGATAGTATAATAGTTAATAAAATAAAATATCACGTTTTATACATCAATCAATCACTTTCTTTTTTCACAACTATCTATTCAAAAAAAAAAAAAATCTACAAATCATTTTTAAAAACAACTTTTTTTTTCATCTCGTAAAATAATAAAAAGATCAAAAAATCAATTAAAATAATCAAATTTCCAAACGGACCTAATTACCAGCAATCTTTATTTTTTACCCAATCCAACCACACCAATTACATTTCTACTTTTAATGATCCAATGTCCAAATTTCATAATGAGTATTTGGGATTTGCTTATTTATTTTTTGTTTTTTTTTTTTGTCTTAGTGAACTTTTAAAAAAAATAATCAAAAAACTAGGCTATTTTAAATATGACTTATAAGTTAAATTTTTTGCCTCCTATAAAAAGATGTATAAAAAAAATAAAAAGATGATTTGATAAAAATAAACTAATAAATAATTTATTTGAATCACAGTATTTATTTGACAAATTAAATTAAATAGAATTTGAGGTGTTCCAAAAGAGACCCAAGTAAAGCGGTGTGGCCTGACTCAACCCGGGCCCAAATTACATAAAATAGGATCACAGTTGTAAAGAAGCCGTATCAATTTTGGAAAACACTTGTCCCAAATCACACCCCTCTCGATGAGAAGTTATTGGTTGGTTGTAAGCACGGCGCTCATGTGGTGTCTGCGTGTGTTCTCAGGGTAAATTGTAACAATAATGATAGAGATTACTAATTTTGAAGTTTTAAAAAGATTACTAATGACATGACATTCAATAAAAAAAAATACAACACCAAGACTAAAATATCAAATTATTCATGGTGGGACTCACTGCCACATCATTAGTGATGACACTAATTAATGCTCTCACTCATTTTTCAAATTGTAAATGAAAAATGTTTGGATTCCGTTTGAATTACCCTACATTCGTAAAGTGATCTTGAGGGTGATCTTAACCTTTTATGTATGTGTAGGATATTTGAGATTTATATCATGAGTGGTCCACATTCGTAAGAGCTTTGTGGAGGGTGAAGTTTCAATCATTGCTCATTATAAATACATGTTCAGAAATTTATTTAAAATATAAATTGTCTTCTGTGATTAGAAAAATTATAAATATCTCTATATCAGAATTTTTTATTTAATAGAATTAATTGAAAAAATAAAATTTCTAACTGTTCACCTATACAATAATAAAATTATTTAAATTATTAATTGAAATAAAATTTTAACATTATTAAAAATTATTAATTAACTTGTTGATTTATTAATAAAATGACATATATATTATGAAATTAGAAATCTTAAAGAACATAATATAATTTTTAAAATTACAAAAATAATTTATAATTTAAATAAATTTCAAGAATTGTGTTTATAATTTATCCTAAAATTAAAGATTTTATATAAATAATTTATAATTTAAATAAATTTCAAGAATCGTGTTTATAATTTATCCTAAAATTAATGATTTTATGTAAATTGATTAGAAAGTATAAGAGACATAAAAGTTTATGATTGGCCCAAAACATGCCACGTGATGGTCGGAACCAATCAATAATTTTTTCGTCCCCACCGAATCGGAACCGTCTCGACTCATGCAAACCAAAAACCAAACCCAATTCAATCCAATTCAATTCAAACTAAAACCCTCTCTCACACTCCTCCTTCCCAAAAGGAAGATTCGGCATCTGCAATTCCGAGCCACCGATCGATCAGCCGTAGCACCCATGGGAGTCCCGGCGTTCTACAGGTGGCTCGCCGATCGCTATCCTCTGTCGATCGCCGACGTGGTGGAGGAGGAGCCCCAAGAGGACGACAATGGCGTCTTCATACCCCTCGATGTCTCCAAACCTAACCCTAATGGCATGGAGTTCGATAACTTGTACCTCGACATGAATGGGATTATCCACCCCTGTTTTCATCCTGAAGGCAAGGTATGGACTTTACTTTTAAAAAAGAGAGTAGAAAGTTCATTTGATACGCTGCATTTCGATGGATAAACTTAAATTTGAGTGAAATTGGCAATTGTCAAGTTTAATTTGGGTAGAAGAAGGACCTGTGTGTTATGTGTGAAGTTTTGATTGCATGGAAATTTGAGTTAATGAAATGGGTCTTCCTTGTTTTGAGTCAAAATGTGAGTAAAGTTTAATTTGGTATGGGTTTGATTAAAGGAGTGGAGGGGATTTTAGTGACTTTTTACTCAAATTTAAGTTTGATTGAAAATTTGGGTGAGGCTTGTAGATGCCCTCACACACACACACACACACACACTCTCTCTCTCTCTCTCTCTCTCTTTAAAAGCTTTATTTGATAACAAAGTCAGATTTAATTTAAGCATAAATTTGAGTAAAAGCTTTATAAATTATAAAGCCAGAGTGTGGTAATTTAAGAAATTTGAGTGAACTCATTTTGATATGAGTTTGAGTAAATTAGTGAGACAGAACAGAGACCAACTACCAAAAGAGAGCTAGACTGAACAATTAATCAACACCAGCGGTTAGGCTGAATCAAAGTGGCAAGGCAAAGTGTAAGATCAAATCTGAACAGTATTTCTATGCTGCTTGTAAATTTGTTTCAAAATGTACTAGAAAATAGTCACATCAGCGTGTGCGTCCTGCTCATTATTCTTTGACTGTATGTCTCTAGTACAATTACCTACGGATCATTTGCTGTCTGACACCTCTAAAATAACTAATTGGCATTGTACTGTAGTGTATCCTTTAACTTGGCAAAGTCAGAATTGATTCCGGTGGGTGACGTGGAGAATGTTCCAGTGTTGGCGGCTGTTTTGGGGTGCAAGGTGACTATGTTGCCAGTTTCCTATTTGGGTCTTCCGTTGGGGGCTTCTTTTAAGGAGACTAAGGCATGGGATGGGGTGGTGGATCGTGTTCAACAGCGTTTGGCGGGGTGAAAGCGTCAGTACTTGTCCAAAGGAGGGCGGATCACTTTGAACAAAAGTGTCCTTTCTAGTATTCCAACATACTTTATGTCTGTGCATATAATCCCAGATTCCCAGCAGGAGTGGCTACAAGATTGGAGAAGTTACAAAAGGATTTCTTGTGGGATGGCGGAGGAGAGGGCTTTCATTATCATTTGGTGTCTTGGGAGAGGATTTGTTCTCCAAAGGAGAAGGGGGGCCTAGGGGTGCGGACGTTGGTGGTGTTTAATCGTGCTCTTTTGGGGAAGTGGTTGTGGCGGTTTGCGATGGAAAGGGAGCGCTTGTGGAGGAGGTTGGTGGTGGCCAAGTATGGGATGGATAAAGGGGGGTGGTGTTCAAATAGGGTGTGTCAATCCCATGGGTGTAGTCTGTGAAAGGGGATTTGGTTAGGAAGGATAGCCTTTGGGTATAGGGTTCGTTTCAAAGTGGGGGTAGGGGATCACGTTCGCTTTTGGGTAGATAGGTGGTGTGGCGAGTTGTCTTTGGCGGCCATGTTTCCATTGATTTTTGTTATTACAGTTGATGTGGACGAGGTGGTCGCTTCGGTTCAAGTGCGGCAAGGGCAGTCATACACATGGAATCTTCGGCTTCGTCGTAATGTGCTAGATTGGGAGTTGAACCAATTGGTGGGTTTGTTGTATGAGCTTCGGTTTGGAGGGAAAGGTGAGGATACTTTATTATGGGAGGTTCCGAGGGCTAAAGGGGTTTTTTCGGTATCGTCGTTTTATAGGATGCTTGAGGGGGATGGAGTTGGGGTGTTTCCTTGGAAGACCATTTGGGCGGTGGGATCACCGTCCAAGGTTGCTTTATTTGTTTGGACAACTGCTTTGAATCGTATTCTGACTATTGATAACTTAATTCGGCGGAGCCATGTGTTGGTTAATTGGTGTTGTATGTGTTGTAGGAATGTGGAGACAGTGGATCGTTTGCTAGTTCATTGCCCGTTTATGTCTCGGCTTTGGAATTTGATTGTTGCTTTATTTGGTCCAGTTTGGGTGCCGCCGGGTCTGTACTGGGGGTTCTTCAAAGTTGGGGTGGGGTTAGGGTGGGCAAGAGGCGTTGGAAGGCTTGGGCACTTGCTTCTCATTGTTTGTTTTGGCTGATTTGGTTGGAGCGTAATAGGCGGGTTTTTCAAGATTCGAGCCATTCGGCTCTTTGGTTAGAAAGTAAGTTACTCTTGGTCTTGTATAGTTGGGTGAAGGGTTTGGTGGATCCCAATGTTTTGTATTTTGTTGATTTTGTGAAAGATTTGTTTAGTTAGTTTTGTGTCCGGTTTGGGGTGTTGGTTTTGCTCTTGTATTTTTTGCATCGCCTTGATGCTTTCTTAATAAAGTTTGATTATTTATCAAAAAAATAAAATAAATTGTGGCTATGATGAGACTTTTTGTATCTTCCTTAAAAAATGCTCAAACTCAATATTTTTTTTTTCCATGTTGCTTGGTAATGTCATTGAAAGATCTTTGTTGGTGTAATTGGTAGTTGGCATATTAGTTTGAAATGGATTTTAGTTTGATTGACCTCTCTTTTTTCCCTCTCTCTGTTATTCTGTCATGAGTTTGATAAGGCTATTAGTGTGATATTGAAGAGATGTTCTCTGCTAATGCAGCCCGCACCTGCCACTTACGACGATGTATTTAAATCAATATTTGATTACATTGACCATCTATTCTCATTGGTTCGCCCAAGAAAGCTTCTTTATTTGGCAATTGGTGAGATCTATTTTCTGAAATGCCTTATTCTCTTCCTAGTTACACTAGAGCCAGTTCTACTTAATCTATAATTTTGTAGATGGGGTTGCTCCAAGAGCTAAAATGAATCAGCAACGTTCCCGGCGCTTCAGAGCGGCAAAAGATGCTGCTGAAGCCGTAAGATTCTTTTACTCTCGTATCAGCTTAATAATAGAGAAAGTCAGTAAATATGTAGCCTTTTGTTTCTCGTATTTAGGAAGCTGAGGAGGAAAGATTGAGGCAGGAGTATGAAGCTGAGGGGAGAAATCTGACTCGTAAAGAAAAGACTCAAACGTCTGACTCAAATGTCATAACTCCTGGCACTCAATTTATGGCAGTGCTCTCAGTAGCACTTCAATATTATATACAGACTAGGTTGAACCACAACCTTGGTTGGCAGAGTACTAAGGTTTGGTAGACTTATTCCTATATATTTCTTGTTCCCTTGGTCTGTTCAAGGTTGGATAATTACTTTCCTGTGGGGTAAATCCCTTCTGGTTCTTTTGCAATATATTCCTGGCTTTCAGTATAGTTTCTGTGTTAGTTTATTTATGGCTCTGCATTGGGTGATTATTTGAAGGTTATTCTTTCTGATTCAAATGTTCCTGGTGAGGGCGAGCACAAAATCATGTCTTTCATTCGGCTACAACGTAACTGTCCTGGTTTCAATCCGAATACGCGGTATTGTTTGTATGGCCCAGTGAGTGTGATATCTTGTCCTTGTTTTTGTTAATGAAGAATAATCTGATTAATTCTTTCTTCTTTCTTCTTCTTCTTCTTCTCCTCCTTTTTTTTTTTTTCCCCGTTCTTCCTGTTTACACATGCTATGTGGTAGCAAAAAGGGCTTTGAATATACATAAATATATATATATATATATATTTGTGTCCACTATAAACTTGCAATTTGGTAATTTCTAAATGAATGATATAGTTTAATACAAGCAGGATGCAGACCTTATTATGCTGTCTTTAGCTACACATGAGGTTCACTTCTCAATATTAAGGGAGGTTGGTGGCTACTCTTTTAAAATATTCTTATACCTCCTCTAACTTGTTCAATAATCATGATTGATGTCATATGCCTTTTGGTCAATCATACAGGTGATTACTCTCCCTGGGCAGAAAGAAACATGTTTCCATTGTGGTGAAGTGGGTCATCTGGCTGCTGAGTGTCCAGGTATGCCAGGTGGCAAAGATGAAGATGTTAATGGGAAGGTGGTGGACAACACGCCAATTCACAAGAAGAAATATCAGGTTGGATAATTGTCATCTTGCCTTCTGATGCTTTATTTTGTTTGTCACATACTATGTGCACTTTGTTTATGAACTTGTTTATGGCCTGGGCAGTTCCTCAACATCTGGGTGTTGCGAGAATATTTGCAATATGATCTGGAGATTCCCAACGCTCCATTTGAGATTAACTTTGAGAGATTAGTGGATGACTTTGTGTTTCTATGTTTCTTTGTTGGCAATGACTTTCTTCCGCATATGCCTACACTGGAAATGCGAGAGGTATGTGACTGGCTGGCAATCTGTTGCTCAAATGGTTTATGATTGAAACAATTGGTTGAACTTTTCACATTTGTACTTTTTAGATGTTAGGGAAATAGAAATTACTCATCTCTTTTTCTATGATGAAAATGATAATAATCTTGTTTTACAATAAAAAAAATATGCTACATGGCTGATGGCATTCTTCCCTTAGGACTCTAAATACTCTTTTCATACTGCTTTACGCTAACAAAAGCACACTTGTTTTTTTTATTTTATATTTCAGGGTGCTGTTAATCTTCTGATGTACGTTTATAGAAATGAGTTTACTGCTATGGGTGGTTATCTTACTGATGCAGGTGAGGTAATATTCTTCTCTAAGTGTTCTAGTGAATTCCTCTGCTAATGCCCCCCCCCCCCCCACTTAACTCCTGTTTTGTTGAATGTTGTATTTGATGGTTGCAGATGCATTTATTCTGTTTTGATAAATTTAGCATATTATTAAAGGCCCATAGGTGCATAAGCAATATGCCTAGTATGTGTACTACCCATTCACATCAACTCAAGGATCCAAGATCTAGGCATTGCTAAATGAAGTATTCTCTCCTCGCCAACCTCAATATATTGTAAATCCCAATATAGTAAAAGGAAGGACAGTTCATTTCTCCCTCAACTCCACGCACACTACAGATTTATTGTGGCATCTACTTAATATAATATTCCAATTTAAAATGGTTTGGCTTGTGTTTATCATTTCATGATGGTCATTTGATAACTTTATCTTGCACTTACCACCAAGTCAAAAATCTGGTGTTAGGTTGGATTAATTGCCTTCTTAAAAGCATGTCCTGAAGTCTGTAACTTACTTATTCAGGTTTTGCTGAACAGAGTGGAACATTTTATCCAGTCAGTCGCAGTCTTTGAGGACCAAATCTTTCAGAAGCGGGCTTATATACAACAGGTGTTTCCCTTGTGAGAATATTGTGTGAATATTTTAGATTGTGTGAATTTTTTGTTCTTAGGATTATTCTTATTTCCTATTTGGGATTTAGCCTAAAATTGCTATATTTATTAGATGTACACTTTGTATTGTTTTACAATTGAATATACAAATTCATTCAGAAATCTTACAAGGTATTAGAGTTGTGTATGAAACCCTAGCCCATCAATTGTTGAGGAGTTGCGATTGTACCCACATCACAATCAATATCAGTTCTCACCAAAATCAGAACCATTCAATACCAGAATCATAGTACCTCATCTCCTTTGCTTCAACCTTTAGTTTGCACATTTGATTCGCGTGACTGACCTATCTGGTTCGCACATCTGGTTCACGTGAGTGGTCCATCTGGTTCACACCTCTTCTTTGCTCATCTGGCTCGTATGGGTGACCCATCTTCGCAACTATCTCTGATTTGCTATTGCCTTTGCCTATGTTCATTACAATAGTTCATCGCATGACCCATCAAGTTGTCTGCCTCATCTGACCTCTCGACCAACTGGGTTCCTTCGTTGATCCATCTGGTTGATTCGGTGCACCTGTTTGTTTGGACCGATTGGTTTGAGAGATCCATCTGGGCGACTCACAATAGCTGTTCGGGTCTTCTCCTCTATGTGCGACTTATGATAACTCTCCCTCCCTACCTCGTCTGGTTCGAGAAACCCACTTGGTTGAGTCGTCGCACTTGTTCATGTTCTTCTTCTTTGTGTGTAACCCACGAAAAGTGTTCTTTGATTTGTGGTCTCTCCTTGCTGATTCACTGTGTTGATTGGTAATAAAGCTTCTATTTACAGTTCAGCCCCTCTATTTGTGATTATCTGGCATTATTTTTGGATTATTACACTTTCACCACACCAATACTAGTCTTGTGTTTCTCTAGTTTTGGTGTTTTGGGGTTTATTACGTTTTGACCCATCAGTTTCTCTGGTTTCAAATTACAATGTTTGATGATAGGATTGCTAGGCCCGAAAATAGGTCACTAGCTTCAAATGAATGTGTTTTTTGTCATCAGAAGGGTCATTGGAAGTATCACTATCTCAAGAAGGGATGCTTTCTTGTCTTGTCTCTTCTCTTCAGCAGTCTCAAAATCAGTTCTGTACTCCTCTTGTAGCTTATACTGCATCTGCTCCACCTCTTGATCCTGGCTTCCTTAAGAGCTCAGATTAGTCAACTTCAGCATATACTGTCTACCTCCCAACCATCCCCATCTGCCTCTATTGTTTCCTCTTTGCATTCAAGTTTGGTTGGTTCTTTTTCAAGTATCTCTTCGGCTGTCTGGCTTTTTTACTCTGGTGCCTCTCATCATATGGCTCATCATCTTTCCTTATGAAGATCATGGAAAGAAGAGAAAGAACAAATTTGGAATTTCACATGAAGCACATTTAGGGCATAAGAATTAAAGATTTGGAATAATTTTGAGTCTTCGTGTCATTATAGTAGGTTTTAGTAATTAAGGGTATAATGGTAATTCCAATCCAATAATTGTTGGACATGGGTTGTAAGGGTCATCCATGAGTTTTATTTTGGGTCAAGTTATTAAATGAGTGATTATATATGAGTTTTATTATGTTTAAAATAATCTTAGTGGTCAAAAGTCCAAGTTTCCTATTTTGATATTGAAGTAGAATTAGAAGTCATTAAAGTTTTCTATTATGATTAAAGTAGAATTGGAAGTCATAGTTGGTCTAGAATATTAGTAGTTGCTAAATATTTTTAGTTTCTAAATTTGAGAAGTAGTCTTTATAGAATTAGGAGAGTCTTTAGCCTATAAATATATGTGTAATCTCAATGATTCAATAGCAGAGTTAATATTATGAAAATTTGAGATTGTGTTTGTGTGATTGGTCAATCCCTTGCGAGGGTAAAGCACCTCTCTCTCTCTCTCTCTCCTTCTTCTTCTTCTTCTTCTTCTATCCAGTAAGGTTATTATTCACGTCACTGTTCACAGTGCTTAGAACAACCACTCAATTACTCCTAAACACTTGTGTTTTCATTTTCAAAACCCCAGCCTTTTATAAATCCTTAAACTCCTATTTTTTAAATACTTTTTGCAGCCACAAAATTCCACCAAACCCAACCCTATAAGTCTATTGTTGTTACTGTCAGTATACTTAAACTGGGCTCACTATTTGTAGGAAAGTAATCCCTACTCGCCCTACATCAGTTTGGTATAAGAGTTTCAAGATCGTACTTTTATTCTCCACTGTTTTTGGTTTTTTTTTTTACAAAGTTGTTTTATATCATGGTGACAAACGCTGAATTGAATTCCAAGTTCGAAGCCTTCTCAAAAGATTATGAGGCTACTGACGAAGATGTTGCAATGATAAAGAGTGATGTGCATACTATCAAAACAACTTTGAATGGATTGAAAACTTCCATGGAAAGATTGTTGGTTGCTGTTTTAGAGAAGACTAATATCTAGGAGCAAAAGGATGATAGTGTAGAAGATTTTGAAGAAACTATGAAAGAACAAGATGAACATGCTGTTAATATTGAGGATATTGAAGAAATTTGCCTACTAAAGAAAGCATGAAAGATCATCTGATTAATGTTCTAAAGCCAAGGAAGCCATAGAGGATGATGAGAATGCAATTAAACTTTATGCTTTTCACAAGAAAAATGAAGTTCACATTGAGTTTATTATTCCTGACAAATTCGAAGTAGTCAATGGAGTGATGACAACATTGAACTTTTTGATTTTCTTATCGTTCGTTCCAAACAATCAAGTTGAATTGTTGCAAGTGCAAGATTCCATAATCCTTATACTTCAACATTATAAAACTCGAGGTCAAGTTTTTTCGAATACAGGGGAGAATGATGAAGATCATGGAAAGAAAAAAAAAAGAGAAAATCTGGAATTTCACACGAAACACATTTAGGGCATCAAGAATTTCCTATTTTGATATTGAAGTAGAATTAGAATTCATTAAAATTTCCTATTATAATTGAAGTAGAATTGGAAGTCATAATTGGTCTAGAATATTAGTAGTTGCTAAATATTTTTAGTTTCTAAATTTGAGAAATAGTCCTTATAAAATTAGGAGAGTCTTTAGCCTATAAATATATGTGTAATCTTAATGATTTAATAGTAGAGTTAGTATTATGAAAATTTGAGATTGTGTTTATGTGATTGACCTATCTCTTGTGAGGGTGAAACACTTCTTTCTCTCTCTCTCTCTCTCTCTCTCTCTCTCTTCTTCTTCTTCTTCTATCCAGTAAGGTCACTGTTCACAGTGCTTAGAATTAGGGGTGTGCGCGGTGCGGGTCGGTGCGGTTTGAGAGAAAAATAGAAACCGTATGGCGGGTGGCGGATTGATAAAAGTGTCACTAGAATTTGCCATTTTCCTTATCAAAAATCGACGGTTCGTTGGCAAATAATGACGGATTTGCCTTGGCGGTTCGAGCGGATTGACGGTTTATAAAAATATAATTCAAATTACAAAACTTAAATCAAAGAGTCAAAAAAAGACGAGAGATACCGTGATGTTAAACATCTTGCGAAGCTTTTTTCTGATGCAACAAGTGTAGCAACAACATGATAATATCAACGACTATGCCATCAGTTCATTACAAACATCTGTGGAAGCTACAATGATCAAATACAATACATAAAATTAATGTCATTCAGGGTTTACAATATATTGAAAATGTTTACTATTGAAAAGTATTTAGATTGAAAAGTGAGTTGATGTAAGTTTGCAACATGGCTAGAAAAAAAAAAGATTGAAAAGTGAATTGGAATCCAACTTTATTTTGGATTACTGACATCTTGAATTCCCCTCGAGCAGTAATGTGATACTATATTCTAAGGTATAGAACAACAAGCAAACTTAAGTAAAAGAATTTTTAGAATCTTATAAAATATGATTTAATAGCGGTGCGGGTCGGTGCGGTTTGGAAGAAAAATAGAAACCGGCGGATTGATAAAAGTGTCACTAGAATTTGCCATTTTTCTTACCAAAAATCGGCGGTTCGATTTGCAAATAATAACGAATTTGCCTTGGCGGTGCGGTTCGGTGCGGTTTTGGCTGTTTCGGCGGTATTATGCACACCCCTACTTAGAATAACCACCAAACTGCCCATAAACACTTGTGTTTTCATTCCCAAAACTAGAGGTGTCCGTAGTTCGGTTTAGGACGGTTTGCGGTTCGGTTTGGACCCGCCCGCATCTATGCGGTTTGGGAAAAAGTCAACCTGCAACCGCCCGCAATGCGGTTTGTACGGATAGGGTTCGCAGGTGTACGGGCGGTTGCAGGCGGTTTGCGGATTGAACTTTTTTTCCAAAAAATTATTTTTAGACCTTTGCAGTGATTGATTAAATAAAACAAACAGATTCTATTGATTGATTAAATAAAACAAATAGATTCAACTAAGACACAGACAGATTAAATAATCTGAATTCCAAAAATTAAATAAAACAAACAGATTCAAACAAACAGATTCAATTAAATAATCTAAATTTCAAAAATTAAATAAAACAAGCAGATTCAAACAAATTCAACAGATTAATAAACTAAGATCAAACAGATTCAACTAAGACACAACTAAGATCAAAACAGATTCATATTTACATTCCAAATAGAGGCCAAACACAGATTCATATTTATTTACAGATTAATAACAGATTCATATTTACATTCCAAATAGAGGCCAAAACAAACACAACTAAGATCAACACATTACAGATTCAACACAGATTCAACACAACTAAGATCAAACAAAACAAACACAGATTCCGAATCAGATCTGCTGGTCCACAACAAAAATCAAATCTGTTGGTCCACAAAAATCAGATTTGTTCGTCCACAAAAAATCAGAGATAAGAGATCAGGAAGAGAGAGAGAGAGAAGGGGGGCTTACCTGTGTGTGAGTCGATCGGTTACAGAGATGCAAAACCAGAGAGTGAGTGTGAGACTGATGAGATGAGAGAGTGAGGGATACAGATCGGATCAGATCAAATCAGAGAGATATATATCTGATATATTATATATAGATATATAAATCAAAAAAAAAAATCAACGATCGGGAGAGAGAGAGACAGAGATTGAGAGAGAGAGTTCACCTGTGACGTAGATCGGCTGTGCGATGATGATCGGTGCGATGAGATGAGAAAGAGAGTGATCGCCGATCGGTGTGCAGAAACGAGAGTGAGAAAGAGAGACAATGATGTTGAGATGAGACTCTGAGAGAGAGTGAGAGAGCCGATTAGATTAGGGTTTTTTTTTTCTTTTGTTTTGTTTGTTATAGGTGAGTGAGAGATGGACGGTTAGATTTGAAAGAGGGGGGGAAAAAAAATTTAATTTAATGCGGGCGGGTTGGGCGGGTGCGGTTCAAATCCACAACCCGTCCGCAACCCGAAATTTATATAAAATTCAAACCGCACCCTACCCTAATGTGTTTGCGAAACCGCCCACATGCGTGCGGTTCAGATCGGGTAGGACGGTTTGGACGGGTCGAATGACCCTATGCCCAGCCCTACCCAAAACCCTACCCTTTTATAAACCCTTAAACTTCTATTTTTTAAGTATTTTTTGCGGCCACAAAATTTCACCAAATCCAGCCCTATAAATCTATTGTTGCTACTGCCAGTATGATTAAACTGGGTTCACTGTAAGAAAGTAATCCCTATTCATCCTATATCATCTCCTTACTTTAGAATTGTACTTCCCTTTCATTTCCTATTACTGTTAATGCTGCTAATGGGTCTGGTATGTCTGTTATATCTATTGGATCTGTCTTACTGTCTGCTATGTCTGCTGTCTCTATCGCATCTGTCTTTTATGTTCCTCAGTTATTTGTCTGTTTATTATCTATCAGTAAGGTTTGATGCCTCTTGTTTAATGTTATCTTTTCTTTTTCTATTTGTTCTTGAATGTCCAAGTAACAGATTGGGATCAACTGTAAAGTTAGAGACCTCTATGTTGTGGTGAACTTGCATCTATCTATGACTGCCTCTCCAATTGCCTTTGCTTTTTTTCAATTAGATTCTCTGTCAAGTCCTTTCTATTCGTGGCATTCTAGATTAGGGTATTTATCTGCTAACCGCTTACAGCCTTTGGCTCAGTCAGGTATATTGGGTAAAGTTTCTCCTAATCAAATTATCGAGTGTCGGGGGTGTAACCTTGTCAAAATGATAGTCTTATTTTTTCGTAAAAGTACTTTTATATTTGATACACCATTTTCTTTAGTTTATACTGATGTATGAGGTTCTTTTCCTATTCTCACCAAAAGGGGTTTTACATACTATGTGTCATGTATTGATTATTGCACCCGGGATACTTGGGTTTATCTTATAACTCATACGTTTGACTTCTACCAAATGTACCGTATTTTTCAGTCTATGGTCATTTCACAATTTTGGTCTATTATTAAATTGTTACGGTCTGACTTGGGTGGAGAATATTTTAAAACTAAGTTCTGTGAGTATTTGACCAATTTGGGTACCATTTACTAAATTTCTTATAGTGATACACCTGTCCAAAATGGTCGTTTTTTGTGTAAACATCGTCATCTCATTGAGACAACTAGGTCTTTCCTTCTCTCTGCCTCTATTTCGGTTCTTTTTTAGGGTGAAGCAGTTCTTACTGGGCTTTTCTTCTAAACCTTATGCCTACTCCCCAACTCTCTGGTCGTTCTCCTTATGAGACTCTGTCCTCCCAACTTCCCAATTATTCTCTCCTGCGTATTTTTGAGTCTGCTTGTTTTGCCCTTTTTCCTTGTAAAGATAGGACTAAACTTAGTATCCGATTTGTTCTGTATAACTTTTTAGGCTACAATCTTACCTATAAAGACTATTGTTGTTATGACCTTGTTTCTCGTCGCCTTTATGTCTCTTTCCATGTTGCCTTTCTCGAACGTCTATCTTACTTTAGCTTCCTTCGATCACTACGCCGTTTTCCAAAGAGGATTTGGTTCACATTGATCCATTTCCTTCTAAGTCCCTCCGGATGAGTACATCTCTATTATTTCCCATGAGCTTGTTCCCTCCACCACCTCTCTTGCTGAGTCTCTCTCCATTGACCCATGAGTTTGTTCCCTCTTCTCCTCCTTTTCCTCCTCGTCCGTTGTTAGTCTATTCTCGTCACAAGGCTCTCTCTCCACCAGTTGTCTCTGCCCCTACTGTCGATCCTTCTGCCTCTGATGACTCTGATCTTGCCAATTGTAAGTATCCACTTCACATCCGTAAACAGATAGTCAAATTTGGTTTTGCTAAAACATCTTTTTCTCCTTCGTACTGTACCTTTTTGTCTACTATTCACTCTTTTTTCAGAACCCCAGTCTTACAAAGAGGCCTGTCAGGATCCTAATTGGATTCAAACTATGGAGGATGAGTTGTTTACCTTGCAGAAGACGACTACTACTTAGGAGTTGGTTCTTTTGCCTGCTAGCAAGAATCTGGTTGGTTGCAAATGGGTCTATAAAATCAAGACTCATTCTGATGGTTCTCTCGAGCGCTACAAAGCTCACCTGGTTACCAAAAGTTTCTCATAGGAGTATAGTATTGATTATGAGGAAACCTTTGCCCCTATTGCTAGGATGACTATTGTCTGTACTTTGATCTCTGTCGATGTTGTTCGTCATTGGCCTCTTTATCAGATGGATGTTAAGAATGTATTTCTTAATAGCTATCTCACTGAAGAGGTGTACATGCGTCCTCCTGCTGGCCTTCTTCATTCCTTTGGACAGGTTTGTCGTCTTCGGCGTGCTTTGTATGGTTTGAAGCAATCTCCTCATGATTTGTATGATCGCTTTCAAACAGTTGTCACTGAGCTTGGGTTTCATCCTAGTGCCCATGACTCAGCTTTGTTTTTCTTCCACACCTTTGCTAGTTTTGTTGCCTTGTTATTGTATGTGGATGATATGATAATCACTGGCTCTGATTGTTCTATCATCTCTAAGGTCAAGTGGCATCTTTTCCGTACCTTTGAAATGAAGGATTTGGGCCCATTGTGGTATTTTCTTACTATTGAAGTAGTTTCTTCTCTCAAGAGCTACTTTTTGTCTCAAGTTAAGTATGCCAATGAGGTTATTCACCGTGTCAGTCTTATTGACACTAAGATTTCTAATACTCCTATTGAGCTTAATATGAAGCTCAACATTGATGATGGTGTCCCTCTAGACGATTCTACTCTATATTGCGAGCTCGTGGGTTGTATAGTCTATATGACGATTACTCGCCTGATCTTGCCTATGTTGTTCATGTGGTTAGTCAATTTGTTTCTGCTCCTCGCTCTACCCATTGGGCTGCTTTAGTTCAGATTCGTTGCTATTTTTGCAGTACTATCTTTCAAGGCTTGTTGTTGTCTTCTATTTCTTCCTTAGACTTGATAGCATATGTTGATTTTGATTAGGCTGATGATGTCACTAATTGCAAGTCCATTTCTAACTTCTGCATGTTTCTTGGTAATTCCTTGATTTCTTGGAAGAGCAAGAAACAGACCATTGTTGCTCATTCCACTGCCGAAGCAGAGTACCATGTTGTGGCCCATGCCATTGCTGAGATTGTTTGGCTTTATTGTCTCTTGTCTGATTTGGGTGTCCCTCAATTTTCCCCGACCTCTCTCAATTGTGACAACTGCAGTACTATTCAGATTGCCCATAACACTGGCTCCCAAGAACAAACGAAGTACATTGAAATTGATTGTCACTTTGTTTATCAGCATCTACAGTTTGGCTCCATTTTGCTTCCTTTCGTCTCTTCGACTTTGCAATTTGATGACTTATTTACCAAGACTCACATCACTGCTCGGTTTTAATTTTTTCTTGCAAACTCTTAGTGTTTTCTGTTAAAACGCCTTGGGTTTGAGCGGGGGTGTGAGAATATTGTGTGAATATATTAGATTGTGTTAGATTGTGTAAATACTTTGTTCTTAGGATTATTCTTATTTCCTATTTATGATTAGGCTTAAAATTGCTATATATATTAGATGTACAATTTGTATTGTTTTACAATCGAATATACAAATTCATTCAGAAATATTACATCCCTATCTTATATTGTTTCATCAGGATTTACAACATTAGGATTTTGATTCATGATCCGATTTTTGATTTAACAACTATGATTACATAACAGCATTGCCAATTCTTATATCTTGCCCATCGAATTAATATGCAAGATGCATCTGCATTGGTGTGTGTTTGCATGTGTATTATTTCATTCTTGTCATATGATTTGCCTAAACATCGTCGAAAACTATATACTTTAATCTCGTTGAGCTCGAGTTTGTTTTGCTTGGGCCATGGGTTTTGTTTATGCTTTCAGTGCATATCTTTATGCATAAATCCATTTATTATTGGTGACAAGTTTATTTTTTTTTAATTACAATGGGTTTTTTTTTTTTTGGGGTTGTTGTTGTTGTGGTCAGGCTATGGAGAATAATGAAGATATGAAGCTTAAAGCAAGAAAAGAGGTTTCTGAAGTGCTACCAGTTGTGGATAAGGTCTGCTTTCACTTGGATTTATTGAAAGATCTTAAAAGTAATGAGCACCTAATTCAATTTTAATGGTAAACTTAGATTAGGGAAACTGGAAAACCCAAATCTTTCACATTATAATTCAAATAGCTTGTTGACTTTGTCCGATGATAAATGGTTGGGGACTAACTTGAGCTGCATGATATGGGTTCCCTTTGAAGATGAGAATAGATTATGGACGTGCGTCACAAGTTCTAAAGGATCCACCAAGCTCTCAATTATTTTGCCATTGATGCAAGAGTTGGAGACGCTAATTTTCTCTCTTCCATTGATCATTTAAGCGGTTGATCATTTTAGTTTTTATGTTTTTTGATAACAACTACAACTTTATTAAAAGGAAAGAGAAAAAAGAGATACAATGAGGTTAAAGGAAGAAAGTCCATAAAAAGAGAAAATCTGCATATCACATACAACCAGCCAATTTGCAGCGTTTGGTTCATTTTCAATTTTTAGGTTTTTTTAAACTACCTTATTAGAAAATTCAACTAATTCTTCTTTGTTTTAAATAATTTAAAAACTTGTTCCATCCTCGTACTGCTAGTATTTTAAACGGCTTAGATGTTGATTAAAAAAAATTGACATTTCACTTTCAAAAGTTGGATTTACTTTTCCAGCATGGAAAATGGAATTTAAAAAAAAAAAAGAAGAAAGTTGTAACAATTTATGTATTATTGATTGATGTCTTTCTTTGTTTTAAATAATTTAAAAACTTGTTCCATCCTCGTACTGCTAGTATTTTAAACGGCTTAGATGTTGATTAAAAAAAATTGACATTTCACTTTCAAAAGTTGGATTTACTTTTCCAGCATGGAAAATGGAATTTAAAAAAAAAGAAGAAGAAAGTATTATAATATGTTTATATATTTGTATTCTTTGGCTTGTTTGTGATTAACAGTGGTCCTGTCACTTGGGTTTTTGGATAATCTTTATTTTAATTTTTCAGCATATTTGCTTGTTCGATGTGCACATGAAACATATATGTATGGCTGTTTTTTTTATTCAATACTAAGAAATTTGTCATTTTCGCAGGTGAAATTAGGTGAGCCTGTATATAAAGAAAGGTATTATGCTGAGAAATTTGATGTATCAGATCCTGAAAAGATTGTTGAAATTAGAAAAGATACAGTAAGTTCCTTTTAAGTTTTGTACCATCTCAAAGAATGAAGTAGGTAAAATGTGTTTTCCAATTACTATGATTGTTGTATCTAAATGGTGTGGAGAATGTTGCTTGAATCTTCATTGTGCTATGTTTCTATGAATTTCTTTTCTTGGCATGCTAGTTTCTTCAAGTTTCAATTCCCTGACCATGCTTATCAAATTGTTTCACTGACGACTCTATGGAATATAGACATAGGGTGTGCTTTTTCCGTGATGTTTTGCAAAGATCCAAGTGAAGTTCAAAAGAAAAGCTTATATCACATGAGTTCCCCCCCATCAGGCACCGATTTTCTTTAGTTATGCCCAAATGGATTCTTCTTAATATTTTGATACTGTTAGCCAAGGAGAGGTTCAAAAGACAAGCTCACGGCACATGAGTTTCCCTTCACAATACCTGGTTTATTCGGTTTCTTACATTTCTTCATTCCCATCTGAGCCTTAGTATTGACTTTATCGTCTGTACCAAAACAGCTTGAGTGTCCCCCAGTCGTGTTATGGCAATAGAATAGAGCTAAGGCACTCTTACGATATGCTTGGTTTGAGTTATGCTCGATGGGTTTCTTTTGAACTAAGATATTTGATATACATAGAGAGGTTCAAAACAAAATCCTATTTCACATGAGTTCCACATCTGAATTCTTGGTTAAAACAAATTTCCCATATAGCCCAAAAAATAGACGTACACCACCTGGTCATACTACGCCTATCCTTCTAATGAGTATAGTGCACTATGTAGCTGCCTAAGAAATATCTTTGTTACATGGACTCTCCTAAATATATGGAGTACCCATGTTGGACCCTTGACACTTGAGTAAGGGCATGGGATACATGTTCCACATGTGTAGGTGTACATTTATCCAATACGTATGTCTAGCAATTCAAATTTACAAGATAATTATGCATGAGTTTCCCATATAATGTAAGCAACACTCTATGCTACATTGTACATAATATTGTCCAACAAATTTAAAGATGAATATTAAGAAATATAATTATTTTGCCATGTTTTTAGACATGGGGATTAGATGAATTTGACACTTAGACACATACTCAAGCCGATACCCATACCCAAGCCTGTGTAACATAGGAAATATCTACCAGTCAGCAATGAGAGGAGCAGTATTTAAAAATAAGCATAAATTTTGGGGTGGTATACCTTGTAGAGCTTCCTTGCTTGAAAGTAATATTGAGGAAAGACTTCCAGTATTTGGCGTCCCGTTTGTTGGTGTCTTATGCCAACTACTTGCGATAATTCCTTGTCTCCATTCTTAACGGAGTAGCCAATCATTTCTTCCCTTGTATGTGTGTTTTTACTTGCCTTTTTCTCTCTAAAATGTATTCCAAGAATGAAGTTCAATGATTTTTTTATTTTTTTTACTGTATGGCTAATGATGCTTTTTTCCACATTTAAATGTTTTCACACATAATGAATGGAGTATCAAATTTGATAACCACATTTTGTACATTGTAGTTATAAAGTTTATATGATTGCCACGCAACAGGGATTGCACTGGATGATCCTAAGCTGTATTTGCAGGTTTTGAGATATGTAGAAGGTTTATGCTGGGTTTGCCGGTATTACTACCAAGGTGTCTGCTCATGGCAATGGTCAGTTTCTGATTTATAGGAGACAGCATCATAATTTGTTTTACCAATAATGTTCGGGACACTAACAATCATATTAACTAGACTATTTGGTGAATGTGAACCCTATGTCAACGTGCGATTCTTGTATCTTAGTTGGTTTGTTTGTTGGTATATTTGTGACTGTTCTAGCATTACTGTTTGTTCTACATGCTCAATCATGAAGATAATCAGTCATCTGTGTATGTGTATAGATATTAGATATTAGTACATATGTTGATGATAAGCTTCTGTAACGACATATGGCAAAATAAGTGGCTGTCCACCCCTATTGTGCTGTATGTTGTGTGGGTTGGATAGGCAAAAGAGGGGAATTTTGCTTTGTGTCCTTAAATGAAGTCAGGGAAAGCAGTCCATGAATTCTTCACTTTTTTTGGATCTTATTTATAAGATGTTATTGAGACCAAGTATGTAGACATGGGCAGATGCTTAATCCCTATCCCACCACATAGATGATATAAACACTGTGTTAATATAAACACTGTTTTAATTAAGGAGGTTTATGCTTTTGACCATTTTTTGTGTGTGTTAGAATTTACCTACACCTACCACCACCTACTACCACACCTACTACCACACCTACTACACCTACCACCAATTTACCCTCAATTTTTTGTGTGGGATGCTGTTCTTCAACATACTTCTAAAATTTTCTTACCTGTTTTTGTTCAGGTTTTATCCATACCATTATGCTCCATTTGCTTCTGATCTAAAAGGTCTAGCTGATTTAGAAATAACATTTTTCTTGGGAGAACCTTTTAAGCCCTTTGATCAGCTCATGGGAACCCTGCCAGCTGCAAGGTTCATATTACTTCCTATTTTTGTTTTTTAGTTTTTCCCATCTGCAGTTATCAAATATACTTCTGATTTCTTTTATTTTTTATTTTTTATGCTGTATTTGGTTTTGTGTAAGCATCTATCTTTCATGTTACAGTTCTAGTGCTCTGCCTGAAGAGTACAGGAGATTGATGACTGATCCAGCATCACCAATCCACGAATTCTACCCTTCTGGTAGTATTACTCGATTGTCATGTTCTTCTATAATTTATTTTTGAATCTTTTTCTCCTGTTCATTTATTGTTGGGGTTCTCCTATTTGGACAGATTTTGAGATTGACATGAATGGCAAACGCAAAGCGTGGCAGGTATGGCTTTTATGTTCCTAATTATTCTTCTAGATGGACTACTACTACTACTAGTACTACAGATGTTGTTGGCTTTTACAAGTTATCTTGAATTGTTTTGTGAGGATCAGGGCATTGTCAAATTGCCATTCATCAATGAGAAGAAATTGCTTGCTGAAACAAAGAAGCTTGAGGACACTTTATCGGTATGAAACATGGGATTGTTTTTTACCCTTATGCTTTGATTATATAATGCACATTATGATGGATAATATCCTGATTGTTTTGCTGAAGAAATGTTACAGAAGAGCCTGGCTTAAGGAAATCCTTCTTGCCAAAATTAGGGAGACTTCAAAATAGACGATACTGGTCACCTTTTAAGATATTCTCTAGGTTTTTTGCTGACAAGAATACCCTTCTTGTCAGGCTTATACTTTTCCAAAAATGGTGAACGTATGAAATAGTCTTAAAAGCTTAAACTGTTAGGAAATAAACCCAACATTGTATGTCAAATATCCAACAGTGCAACCTTGTTTTGCACGTGGAGAGACGAGCAAACAACCCAACAGGGTTCAAAGAAACAAATATACCAAATGAGGGATGTTAAAATCCACCTACTCTCCACCTACTTCACCCACTTAAACCTACTCCACTAAACCTAACCCACTACACCACTACCACCTCACCTACTCCACTAAACCTAACCCACTACACCACTACCACCTCCACTTCACCTACTCCTTACCTACTACACACTCACCCTCTTCTATATATAGGAATCATGAATCATTGTAATAGAAATCAATATATCAATCAATAATAATACATACAATTTATTCTCTCTCTTTCTCTATACATTATTTCTTGCAAGGGATCAAATGCAAATGGAGAGACTTAAAATCAAGACCTTCCAGGACCAAAAGCTCTATATTATGTTAGATCAATACTTGTCCTAGAAATTTAAACATGGATATTAATAAATATGATTATTTTGCCATGTTTTTAGACATGAGAATTAGATGAATCTGACACTTAGACACATACCCGATACCCATTCCCATACCCTAGTCCATGTAACATAGCAAATGCCCCTAATTCCCCACCCCTCCTGAACCCACCCAAACACCGATGCCCCTACTGAGGCTTGAACCCCCAACCTCCCCTATAGAAGTGTTGGGTTGATGCCTCTATCCCACAAGGCCATTGGCCAAAATTCTCTTCGTTGTTGATAAGAAAGAAACAAAAGACTAATGTTCTGAAAGGTCACATTTAATCCCTCTAGTTGTGTTACTTTGCTTTTTTCAATTTTATCGTTTTAGAATCAAATTACACTGAATCCCTTTTCGAAGAAGGTGAGATGTTTGTGGGTTCTTAGGGCTTGTTTGGTTTGTTTTTGGGAAAATTTTTTGAAAAAAATTCTCAACAAACAAATTTTCAAGAGTAATCAAACCAAACAAATTTTTTCAAAAAAAATCTCAAAATTTTGTTTGGTTTGCTTCTTTCCAAAATCACTCTCTTTCTCATACACATCAAATCAATCACTTTTTTTAAAACTCTCCTCAAAATAATTTTCCAAAACCATTTCTGAAAAAAGGCAAACCAAACAAGTTTTCGTACTTTTTATCTCAAAAACTACTCTACAAACACAAACCAAACAAGCCCTTAATTTCCACTCTTGTCAGATGATTGGAACAATAACACTCACACGATCTCAGAATTATAAAATTTGCTTTTTGTTCTTTTTATATATAATTTTATTTTATGCTAATCAAGGACTTGATACATGCAGGAGGAAGAACGAGTTCGCAATAGTGTGATGCTGGACTTGCTATATGTACATCCTTCTTATCCTTTGGCCGCCCAAATTATATCATACTACCAATTGTTTGATCAGTTAACCCCACATGAAAGATTTCCTTGGCCAATTGACACAAACATTAGGTTAGTTTAATTTATCTGTTCAGTTTTTGATTGTTGTGTTCACTGTTGGCATAGGCTGTTTTACAAACTTTATTTGTTGTCAATGTTTTGTAGTGAAGGAATGAATGGATATCTTTGGTTATGCGAGAGGAATGGGTGCAGGAATGTGGTTCCTTCCCCTGTCAATGGCTTGCAAGATATTGAGAATAACCGGATTTTGTAAGTTCCCTTTTGTTTTATTTATTTATTTATTATTATTATCATTACCATGTTTTGTGGACCACTTTATGGAGTGCTTTCCTAATGTGTTTCCGTTTTACAGAAATGCTACCTATCTGAATCCTCCGCCCCATAGCCACATCCCAGAACCTCCTAAGGGCGTACACTTGCCTGAAAAGGTGCATGACATGTGACATCTGCGATGTAGTAGCATAAATAGGTTAAGTGTCTATTAAATGGCCTATTAGTTGTAGTTTATAAATAGGTGATATAATACTCTATTGTACTTAGCTTTTTGATAAAAGAATATACATTGTGATTGGAGTAGAACTTGGTTTCTCTCTCTAGCCCTTAGGGGTTTCACCCCTAATTGGGGCATTTGTCTTCTCTCTCAATTTGATCATTGATTTGCATATGGATTGCATTAATTTGGAAAATGACATTGGACTACTACTATTTTGATTTATAAATTTGTTGTTTCTATTTGCTGCTCTTCCCTTGTGGTGTGGGCATAGGTGGAAGTATTGTGAAGTGTTGTTTTTGTAGGAACATATGCTCATATATGTGGCTATTGGGTTGAATATTATTTATTGTTGATGCTATTACATAGATCCTTTGTAAACAATGACCAATAAGTGCTTTGTTTTACCTCTGCAGGTTTTAAGCCCTTTGGACATTAAATCTTAGT